GGCGTTTTAGGAGTTTGTCTTCTCCTGTGTGGTTCAGCGTGGCTCTGCAAGCCCTAGTATGAACTGGGCCATGGGGGACACACACCTACACAAGGAATTATATTACAACAGAGAACGACCAGTGGAACCTCTTGCCTCCAGAAGTTGTGAATGCTCCAACACTGGAAGTCTTTAAGAAGAGACTGGACAGCCAATTTACCTGAAATGGTATAAGGTCTCCCACTCGGTCAGGGGGTTGGACTAGAAGACCTCCAAGGTCCCTTCCAACTCTATTGCTCGACGTTCTATTGCCACTCTTCGGCTGACCCTGAGGTCACAGATAAAACTCCAAGCGGCCTCAACGATTCCCAGAGAGAGAGAGTATTCATGACCAGACGATTAAGGAATATAAATCCTTCTATTCAGTCAGAACTGGAGAAGCTTCTTGGACGAGCAGGGAAATGTCTTCAAGGGGAAAAACCAAGCAAGTTCAATTGCCCTTTTGAAAAAAAGCCTCAACTATGACCCGGATGACTGAGAATTTTCACAGATATTACAAAATGACTATAGAATTACTTACACTTGCATTTATTACTCAGCTGCCTAGCCAAGCACATCTGCTAACCCCAGCTGGATTTGGAAGCCGTGAGCGATACAGTAAGATAATATTTTCAGCCTAACCTACCTGATAGTTATTGGCGATAACGACGGAAGAAGGGGGCATTTTGCAAACCATCTGGAGCTCCTGTTAGAAAAGGGTAGGACAGAAATGAGGCCAAAAAAACCCCCCCAAATGAAATGAATATGGAGATTTGAGTTCAAAACCTTCTAGAGTTACAGGTTTTTACCGTGTTCTGCTTCACAGCTGCCTCTTCTCCAGGGAAGTCCCAAAGAACTACACTTCAGATACTAACGCTAGTAACCTTCAATAGGTAGTTGAGATCTCCATATCTATCAAAACTAACCAGAGGAACAGAGGTCCATCTATAATGGCAGTTTCTTTGTCTGGCCAGCTAGCTCAAGTTCCACACTGCTACTGGTTGTAGGGTCTCCTGCCTAAGCAGTGGGTTGGACTAGAAGACCTCCAAGGTCCCTTCCAACTCTGTTAATCTATTCTATTTGTATTTGTATTTGACTGGTCTTGTATGCCGCCCACTCCCGAAGGACTCCGGGCGTCTTACAATAAACAAAGGAAGGGGATAAATAGACAAAAAGACAAAACCAACGATTTAAAATACACAACATTCATAGTTACAGTGGGGNTGAAATAAGAGAGAGTGTGGCAGGCCAAAGATCCTAAAAGGGATATAACTGCCTGACATAGCGATGCACATACAATATATGAATACTTTTGTGTAATTGCTTCCTGAAGTTTCACATTTTTAAAAAGAAATTGATGAGAAGTAGCCTTGAGAAATTAGAACTAACAAGGTGAAATCCACTGAACTCAAGTAAATATTTTTGAAGCAGATTATATTTTGTCATTAACTTGGTTTGCTTGTCCTTGGTCTCTAGATTTCAGTGTCCACCTATCACCCATAGCATCTGCTGTGCTGATTCATCCAAGAACATTGATGGGCTCTATGTACCTTCAATCAAACAAGACCCCAGAAACACCCATTTTCTTTGCTGTACAACCTCCCCCCGCCCCTGGAATGAGATTCTCTCCAAGACCTCGAGGGCCCTAATGGAATGTCAGAGAGCCTTGAAGACTTGGCTATTCAGCAAAACTTTTAATGAAAGTGATCGAGGTGCCCTCTGGGTGATAGGTGTTCACTTCAGTTGTTTGTGCGATCTTTTATTCTTTGTTTTATCATTATATTATTTTATTGTCCTTTGTGTACCATCTAGAATTGATTTGTGTAAAAATATAATACATACTGGTAAATAAATTTGAAATTAAGAAAATTTGCCCCAAGTTACAGTTTAAGAGAAAATTGGTCTAAAATGTTTTGCAGATTGTATACAATGCCACCAAAAATTGTAAAGACATAGAAATATCCATCCATCCATCCAACAATTATTTTGAATAAATGTTGGAATCTCAAAGGAGCTGTATTTCTGAAATGAAAGCATTAATCAACTGCTTTGAGAGCAGTAAAAACATTATCTTCTAATATTATTAAACCAAAGGCCCTGTTCTTTCACTCACATTTGAAATTGATTGTATCTCTGACATTTATTTTATGTGTTTTGGTGTGATTTTATTATTTGTGATAGTTATGAAAAATATCTCAAAAGTTATTTTAATTAGTATTTTAATTTTATACTTTAAAAGGATTTAAAGATATACTAGCAGTACTCTTTAATGTTTAATGTAAATCATATAGGTCATATGGTAAATGGGTGGGGCAATATACGCAAAAGAAGGGTAGAATGTATGACTATAAAGTTTTATTTATTTAAAGTTAGGAGCTGTTCCTTTTTGTATTACTCAGCTGTTACTTTTATATTTCAGTATTATAATAATAAAAATATCTTTGAAAAGAAAGAAAATAATATATCACTTGCCTTGCCATGGAAAAAACTGTCCCAAGGTTGTCATTATTCAGAGTAAAGAAATACTTTTTTATCCAAAGATTTTTGAAACAAGTTTCAGTTCCAACTAGATTTCTTTGATATCCTGAGAAATGTTAACTTCTTCCATATATATTGCATAAGTCTAATTATAGTTTATGAACTATCTTGATTTTCAGCTGAATGTCATATTTTTCTGTTAACTTCCTGATATATATATGTGTGTGTGTGTGTGTGTGTGTGTGTGTGTGTGTGTGTNCCTCCGAGGTCCCTTCCAGCTCTATTCTGATTGACTTGAGGGTCTCCTGCTTGAGCAGGGGGCTGGACTAGAAGACCTCCGAGGTCCCTTCCAGCTCTATTCTGATTGACTTTAGGGTCTCCTGCTTGAGCAGGGGGCTGGACTAGAAGACCTCCCAGGTCCCTTCCAGCTCTACTCTGATTGACTTGGGGGTCTCCTGTTTGAGCAGGGGGCTGGACTAGAAGACCTCCAAGATCCCTTCCAGTTCTATCCTATTCCAGTTGAGGATATGCATCTAGTAGACGTTTCCCCCCAAGGAGCACTCCAGTCCTAGGCTGATTTGCAACTGTGGAGGTGTTAGAACTCAGTGCCTTTTGTTGTTTCAGGTGAGCACGGTGCGTATGCAAGGAGTCATCCTCTTTGTCTTTGCCAAGTACTACCACCTGCCTTTCCTGCAGGACATCCAGACGGACTGCACCCGGACGGGGCTGGGAGGCTACTGGGTAAGTCAGTGGCCCCACCAAGGCCGCCTCTGTCCTTGTGGGACGGATCTCTGGGACTAAGCTGGAGGAACCCTGCAGGAGCCGTTAAGCAATCGGGACCTTGGAGGTCTTCTAGTCCAACCCCCTGCTCAAGCCAGAAACCCCACCCCACTTCAGAGAGATGGTTGTTCCGTTTCTCCATAAAAACCTCCAGGGATGAAGCACTCGAAACCTCCAAAGGCAACTTCTGTTCTCCTGGTTAATTGTCCTCACTGTTAGTATAGGCTATAGGATATATACCCTAGACTAACTACCTAGATGCTATATGGTGTAGTAGAGTTTCCTGCCTGAGCAGGGGGCTGGACTAGAAGACCTCCAAGGTTCCTTCCACTATGTTTCTGTTTCTATTCTATGATTTCATATTATTATTCTATTCTATTTCTATTCTGTTCTGTTCTATATTCTATTCTATTATCCTATTCTGTTCTATTCTATTCTGTTCTCCTACCTTCTTTCCTTATTTTCTTCTCTTCTCCTTCCATCTTTCCTTGTTCTATTCTATCAATTCTTCCTTCTTTCCTTATTCTATTCTGTTCTGTTCTATATTCTATTCTCCTATAATTTTGTTGTTCTATTCTATTCTATTCTCCTTCCTTTTTTCGTTGTTCTATTCTATTCTATTAATTCTTTCTTCTTTCCTTATTCTGTTCTATTACTATTCTACTCTGTTCTATTTTCTATTCTGTTCTGTTCTATTCTATTTTCCTTCCTTCTTTCCTTATTCTCTTCTCCTTCCATCTTTCCTTGTTCTATTCTATCAATTCTTCCTTCTTTCCTTATTCTATTCTATTTCTATTCTGTTCTGTTCTGTTCTATATTCTATTCTATAATTCTGTTGTTCTATTTTCTATTCTGTTCTATTCTATTTTATTCCCTTCCTTCTTTCCTTATTCTCCTTCCATCTTTCCTTGTTCTATTCTATTCTATTAATTCTTTCTTCTTTCCTTATTCTGTTCTATTACTATTCTATTCTGTTCTATTTTCTATTCTGTTCTATTCTATTTTCCTTCCTTCTTTCCTTATTCTATTCTATCAATTCTTCCTTCCATATTCTATTTCTATTCTGTTCTGTTCTATATTCTATTCTATAATTCTATTCTATTCTCCTTCCTTCTTTCCTTGTTCTATTTTATTCTATTCTTTCTTCTTTCCTTATTCTATTCTTCTCCTTCCGTCTTTCCTTGTTCTATTCTATTCTATCAATTCTTCCTTCTTTCCTTATTCTATTCTATTCTGTTTCTATTCTGTTCTATATTCTATTCTATAATTCTATTCTGTTCTATTTTCTATTCTATTCTCCTTCCTTCTTTCCTTATTCTCTTCTCCTTCCATCTTTCCTTGTTCTATTTTATTCTATTAATTCTCTCTTCTTTCCTTATTCTATTCTTCTCCTTCCATCTTTCCTTATTCTATTCTATTCTATCAATTCTTCCTTCTTTCCTTATTCTATTCTATTCTGTTTCTATTCTATTCTGTCCCATATTCTATTCTATTCTTCCTTCTTTCCTTATTCTCTTCTCCTTCTGTCTTTCCTTGTTCTATTCCATTCTATCAATTCTTCTTTCTTTCCTTATTCTGTTCTATTCTATTCTATTTCTATTCTGTTTCTATTCTGTTCTATATTCTATTCTATAATTCTTTTCTGTTCTATTTTCTATTCTATTCTCCTTCCTTCTTTCCTTATTCTCTTCTCCTTCCATCTTTCCTTGTTCTATTTTATTCTATTAATTCTTTCTTCTTTCCTTATTCTATTCTTCTCCTTCCGTCTTTCCTTATTCTATTCTATTCTATCAATTCTTCTTTCTTTCCTTATTCTGTTCTATTCTGTTTCTATTCTATTCTGTCCCATATTCTATTCTATTCCTCCTTCTTTCCTTATTCTCTTCTCCTTCCATCTTTCCTCGTTCTATTCCATTCTATTAATTCTTTCTTCTTTCCTCATTCTATTCTTCTCCTTCTGTCTTTCCTTGTTCTATTCTATCCTATCAATTCTTCTTTCTTTCCTTATTCTGTTCTATTCTGTTTCTATTCTATTCTGTTCTATTCTGTTCTATTCTACCCTACCCTACCCTACCCTATCCTCTCCTGGGAGCTCTTCCCACCTGGGACCAGCCTGGCTCCTGCAGCTCAGAGGCTGTGTTTCCTCTGCCCCCCCCCACCTCCGTCCCTCCGCCCCACGGCTTCTCTGCCTTCCTCCTCCAGGGCAACAAGGGTGGCGTAAGTGTGCGGCTCTCTATCTTCGGGCACATGGTCTGTTTCTTGAACTGCCACCTGCCGGCCCACATGGAGAAGGCGGAACAGCGCAAGGAGGATTTCACCACCATCCTTCACCTGCAGCAGTTCGAGGGGCCCTCGGCCAATGGCATTCTGGACCACGAGTGAGTACCCGCTCTTGCGTCCTTCCAAGCTGGGCCCAAAGATTCCGGGGAGGGCAGGGGGAAGAGAGGGGGGGGCTCCTTGGCCGGTTCCCCTCTCTTTGGGGAGTAGCCTTGTCAGTTCAGAAGCTGCATTTTGATGACTCCTGATCAATGGTGAAATCTAATCCCCCCCCCCATTCCACTGATTCTGTGGGCGTGGCTTGGTGGGAGGGGTAGTGGTCATGTGACTGGGTGGGCATGGCCAACCTTTTCCCCCCACTTTCAGCTATTTTTTTTTTAGCTTTTTAAAGCTAAATCCAGCAAGGATTGCTATTTATAGACAATGAAGGGTAATCTATTCCAAGATATGGAAAAATGGAGATGGAACATGAAATAGACTTACAATGGGAAACTATTGAGGTTTAAAGACAGAATCACAAATTGGGGGCATGTAGGGATGTATAATTATATAAATGTAATGATGAGAATAGCTGGGAATTGTAACCAGGTCTACATCTCGGCCAAAATTAGACTGGTGTGTGTGTGTGTGTGTGTGTGTGCAGGGTTTAAAAGCACAATGACTATATGTGTATACTTTTTTTTTGCAATTTGTTTTTATTTTTAAACATAAAAAAACCAACATTAAAAAAATTCTCATCCATTAAGGATAATAATGATTTTATGTATACTTGATAGAGGATTGGTGATATAATGTATAACGTTAAGGACATATTACAATGATATCTT